GCCCCTTTGAAGCACCTCATGGAGTAGAGTCACAGTATTTGTCCTTTTGTGACCGACTTCTGTCACTTAGCATAATGTCCTCAAGGTTCAGCCATGTTGTTGCATGTGACAGGATTTCCTTCTTTCTTAAGATTGAAAGGGAGCTAGCTATTATAAAAAAAAAAGAAAATACAACAAAAGTTGATGAGAATGTGAACAAATTAGAACCCTTTACAGTGTTGGGAATGCAAAATGATGCCACCATGGTGGAAAACAGTATGCAGTTTCCTTGACCAAATTAAAAACAGAACAACCTTCGGACCCAGGCTTCTCACGTCTGGGTCTTTATCCAGAAGAATTAAAGTCAGGCTCTTGGAGAGAGATCTGCACAGTCGTGTTTACTATAGCATATTCGCAAAGGCCAAGATGTAGATGCAGCTAAATGTCCCAGGGCGGATGAATGCACGAAGAAAATGCATGAGTTCCTCAACAACTGTCAACCGTAGAAACGCGGGAAGCAGACACACTTAAAAATACAATAGTAGCGATGACCACCACTTCCATTTGGCCCAGGATTGTGAATACGTGAGTCTGCGACTGTGATGTGAGTGAGCGAGAAGCATGAACTGAAGGCTTTACACGGCCAACAGACCAATGATTAGTTCAGTGCCGACGTGCTTTCTCCAAGTAGAATATTCCATTTTGCCTCATTGATCGTATGAAGATAGAGGACTTCAAACTATATGACACGTATCGAGGGATGATGTATTTTAATGGCACATTTTTCCAATGAATATATTTTTATAAATTATTCTTTGAATTCTCTGTGAATTTTATCACCTTGGACATACTTTAAAAAGCGTTTCCTGTGTCTTGGTAAAAAAAAAAAAAAAACGGCAGTAAATCTGATGCCTTGGCTTTGTTGATCGGATTTAAGTGTTAGGAAAAGGTCAAAACATGATGTGTATGTTTTAGCTCCTTCTTTCAGCAGACTTTCAAGTTACGCCACATAACGGGTGTCAGATACGTCCAATTAATTCAGGAGATGCTTGCTTCTCACGCTCGTCTGTAAAAGTCGGGGTCGAAGACATTCCGTGAATGCAAAGCACCAGCTCTCTGAAAATCCGAGGGACTTTCCACAGCAAGGTTTGAAAGGAGCGTTGTCTCGTGTGTCTAGTGAAGGTGACAAGTGCTGTAGGCAAATGGGGTGAAAACACAGAACTTCAGATAACTCAGGAAGAGGCGTCGTGCGTGCCATTTTATCAGACACGGGAAGCGCTTTGGGATAGTGAGCTGAGAGAGGGGGGTACCGATAACAGATGATAACTTCCAATTTAGTAATTGGAAGGCAGTTATTATCAGTATTATTTAGAACACATATGAAATATTATTCAGAAGATATATGCTCATCTATATACGCAGTTTATTTCTTTCAAGAAGGTTAAAATATTTAAACTATAGAACTAGAAGGTTATCAGTATCTAACTAAAATCGATACAGTGTCACAGATAATGTACTTTTCACGTGTATTTCTCCTTTCAGAAATTGTTGCAAATCTGTCACATTGTTTTAGGAAATACTCTTATTAAAGATTGCACTAACATGTTAATAGTCTGAGAGGATTATTGTTGATATTATCATGCAGAAACTATTTAAAGCCACTATTACCAATTT